CACGAAAATGATGAAAATGTGGCTGCGGCCTAGGCGCGGCGGGGGGGTCGTGCACCAGGGGTCCCAACAATAATTATTCTTAAGAAGAAATAATGTTCAACAACGACAGCAACAACGACCACGACAACGCCAACGCCAACACCGACACCACCAACACCATCGCCACCCACAACAATATGTTTAAGACTGTTGGCTCTTATCTGCTCGAGTGCCATTCAACGTGTATCTCCCAAACCGTCGACGTTCGTCCTCTTCGTCTTCGATCGTACCCCTTTTGGAAAGCGCATCTTTCTCCCCTGCAGGCCGGGCCCCGGCAAGAGGCGGGGCGGCCGCGGGCCGTCTGCCTGGCCGCCGGAAGCGCTGACCGGCGGCAGCCCGACCCCAAGAAGGACAGACAGGGGGCCGACCGCGACGATGACGACGACGGCAACGACGAGCGAAAGCGAGAGCGACAGCGACATCGGGGCCGCGCGAACGAGCGGGGGCCCCGAAGGGCACGCGTATATTGGGCCGCTGAGGGCGAGGACAGGGCCACTGAAGGCACCGACGGGGCCGCGAAGGGCAGCGAAGGGGCCGCGAAGGGCAACGGCGGAGCCACGAAGCGCATGCATATGGGGCCGCGACGGGCGCGAACGAGCGGGGGCCACGAAGGGCATGCATATATGGGGCCGCGAAGGGCAGCGAGGGGACTGCGAAGGGCTGCAACGGGGCCACGAAGGGCTGCAACGGGGGCCACGAAGGGGTGCAGCGGGGCCATGAAGGGCAGCGAGGGGGCCACGGAGGGGTGCAGCGGGGCCACGAAAGGCTGCAACGGGGCCACGAAGAGCAGCGAGGGGGCCACAAAGGGCAGCGAGGGGGCCACGAAGGGCTGCAGCGGGCCCGCGAACGGCAGCGAGGGGGCCACGAAGGGCTGCAACGATTCCACGAAGGGCAGCGAGGGGGCCACGAAGAGCTGCAACGGGGCCACGAAGGGCAGCGATATCCAGATGCTGCGAAGGAGTCCCAAGCGCGAGCGCGACTCCTGGGCGCCTGCACGTCGGGAACGCGGCGCTCGAGTAAATCGCGGGGGACTGCAGCGCAGGAGCGCGATTGTTGAATGAAGTGCAAGCAAATCTCCAGTGAGAGCGCGACTCCATACAAAAGCAAAAATGGAAGTGTACAACGCTCGGGCCTCTGTGTCGGGCCCCAATGCAATGAACCCCTTCTCGCGCCACTCGCGGGGCGCCCCGGGCGGCCCGCGGCGCGGCTCCCGCGCGTGGAGTGGCGCGCCGTAGGTTTCGGAAAGCCCTCGCCGAAATTGGGGGCTCCAGAATGGGATCCGCCATGAGACCGCCGTGCAGAACAGCCGGCGGTCATCAGAGGGGCGCAGAGCGAGAAACCCCAACGCGGCAGGACCCCTGATCGGGCCCGGCCTTCGACGCGGGCCGCGCCCTAACGGCGCGTGGAATCCCCTTCCCCCGCCCCCGCATTTCTGACCCGCCGCCATATGATCCACGCCGCCCGAGCCGCGAACAAACGTTTGCACGCAGACCGTTGGATGTGATTAGATTACGATAGGAGTGGCGCGACTTTCTTCCACGCGCGCGCCATGCCCCTCAGACATGCGCGACGCCCCCATTAACGAACGCCCAATGCGATCGCAAGCGTGCGCGGGCCCGCCGCTCCACGCGGCATTGTGCCTCGCGTCAGCGCATGGCCTCGCACGGGGTCGGATGCGCGCGCCTCGAACTCACCCGCGCCGCCGCTCTCTAAGGCATTTGTTTCGGCGCGTCGCCGCTCTCGCTGAAAAGAATGCTCGAAACTGGAGATGGCGCTCGCTCTGGGCGCGACCAGATAGCGGGCGCGCGCTGGCCGCTGGACGCTCGCGGCTCCGCGACCGCCGCGTGAACTGTTTTGGCGCGCCCCGCCACGGCCCGCCCTGCGCCCGCCCCGGCCGCCGCGACGAGCGCGCGGAAAGATGCGACCAACACTGGCGAAGGGGCAGAGAAGCGAAGGGAGAGGCAGGGCACCCTGGCAAAACGACAAAAAGAACAGCGGGATGAAAGAAACAGCGACGCCGGCCGGAAGCGGCGGGGGAAAGGGGCCCGAAGACAACGCGACGGGGGGGGCGACGACGGGGGCGAAACGAAAAATAAGAAATGAAAATAACGGCAGCAATGAGGCGGCCGGCGTGCGCCCGACGCCGAATGCGATTTGCATCCCACTGTCGCCGAACAGCGGATTGCCGCGCACAAGCAGATGCAATAATGCGTCAACGCAAGCTTGTCGGGCGCGTCATGCGCGGCGACAGCGGCGCGGAATGGCGACAGGGGGCGCGGCGGAGTGTTTCGAGGGGGCAATTCGAAGGAGGGGCAAAGAAGAAATTATCCCAGAGCGACCCTACCTAGGAGTTGGAGCCCCGAAGAGAGCAATATTAGTAGTAACGGTAAACGCCGTCATCCTCGTTCTCCTCATCGTCGGAATTGTAACAGTAGCGGTAGTAGTAGTAGTAGTAATAGTAGTAGTAGTAGTAGTAGTAGTAGTAGTAGTAGTAGTAGTAGTAGTAGTAGTAGTAGTAGTAGTAGTAGTAGTAGTAGTAGTAGTAGTAGTAGTAGTAGTAGTAGTAGTAGTAGTAGTAGTAGTAGTAGTAGTAGTAGTAGTAGTAGTCGTAGTAGTAGTAGTAGTAGTAGTAGTAGTAGTAGTCGTAGTAGTAGTAGTAGTAGTAGTAGTAGTAGTAGTAGTAGTAGTAGTAGTAGTAGTATATAGTAGTAGTAGTAGTAGCAGTAGTAGTAGTAGTAGTAGTAGTAGTAGTAGTAGTAGTAGTAGTCGTAGTACAGCTTTGCAGAGATGATGATCACGCCCGATGGCTTTCTCTCGAGCCATATGAGCTTTGGCGGGAACGCCCAGCCCCTCACAGTCCAGCCCTGCACGGGCCTTGCACAGGGGGCCTCTTCGGGCCCAATTCTCGCTCTAGGGCCTCCTCGGGCTCGCCGCTCGCGCCAGGGCCTCTTCGGGCCCTGGCCTACACTCTGGACGCCTCGGGAGGGGCCGTGCGCTCACTGACGCCTGCACGCCCCCACGGCGCCTCGTCGAGGCGCATCACCTCGTTCACCTTGCCATAGGCCGCAAGCTCGTACTCACCCGTGGCTCGCCTCGGCCAGCGCCATGAACCTCGGCGTCGCGTACTTCCACTTGTATGTGCACGGCGATTGACTCGCCTTCTCCGCTGTCATCGGCTTGTCCGCGAGCCTTACCTTGTTGATCAGCTCCTTGCTCCGAATCGGGGTATCCGTATGCTTGACCAGCTTCGGCTTCATGGAGCTCCTCCTCGTCGTCCACTTCTCGCAGCTCCAGCACCCAAGCAGTGCGCCTGCCACGAAGGTCATCATCAGCACGCTCAGGATGATCAGTGTCATATGGTCATCGATCCAGTTATGCAGCTTTGTCGCCTCCCAGGGGGCAACTGCACGCTGGTCGAGCTCTCGCACTGCACATTCGCTTGAAGCCGTCGCACCACCGATCACTCCTTGCGCGAGTAGCGTCGCCAGCAGCCCCTGCTTAGCCCAGGCGCTCGTTGCCGCCGAGCATGCCTCCAGTTCCTCGTGCTTGTCCATCTCGCTGCAGTCGATGATGCCGGCGAGCTCCCGCAAATACTCGAACCGCTCTGTGGTGTGCGCTTTGGTTCCCAGGTCGGCCACGTTCTTGGTTCCGCTCTCCTTCTTGATGATCAGTCCGTGCAACTTCCGCTCCTGCTGGATCCACAGCGCCCGAACGTCCAGGTGCTTCACCTTGCCGACGCCCTCGCGGTTGATCATCGCCTTCGCGGCGCTGCTGTCGATCCCGAGCTCCCTGGTCACCTTGTAGCCCAACCACTCCAGCATGTTCTTCACCAGCTTGCCGCCCATCACCACCGAGGTCGCGCCGTAGAACTCCGCCTCGCCTGAGGATGTACTCTGAACTCCTTGCCTCCTCGCAAACGCTGCGAAGTGCACCCCGTCCAGCTGTGTGATCCCACAGGTCATCGCGCGCCTCGTCTCCTTGCACGTCGCAAAGTCCGCGTCCGTGAACAACTGCAGCTTCACCTCTCCAGGCTTGCTCCCAGTTGGCTTCTCCGAAAGCACTCCGAACGTCTTGGTGCCCTTCAAGTGCCGCGCCAGCTTCACCAAGCGCTTCCTGTCAAACTCCGTCGGCTGACTCAGGTTCCTGGTCAGTAGCTGCACGTCCCGCTGGATGTCCGCTCTGTCGGGCGAGATGTAGAGCGCGATCCCAACTCCTGTGCGAAACTTCGCCCTCTCGATCTCGTCCAAGTCGGGGCTCCATGTCGGGTCCTCCTCAGTCAAGCTTGGCACCCTCGCTGGCTTGGCCTTCTCCATGCCCATCACGTAGATCAGGTCGTCGATGTGCTTCACGTTCGGCCTCACCATGATGTTGCCGTTCATGGGCCTCAGCCTGCCGCGCTTCAAGTGTGAGTAGCGTCCCTGCCTGATGACGTCCGTCGCCTTCAGGTCGAACACCTCCCGCAGCCGCTTGATGACCCCGTCCAGGTTGCCGATTGGATCCTCTCCGTGGAAGTCGCCCATGTGCACCTCGATCAGGATCTCCTTCTCCCTGTGGTCGTAAAACTCCGGCTGACGCTCGCTCCTGTCGAAGCCCTCTCCCTTCAGAGTCTTCGCCGCCTTGTCTACCCAGCCAGCGCCTGCCACACGCTGCCCAGGTAGCATCTTGTCCAGCGCCCAAACAATGTCGGTCGGCTTGCCCATCTCCGCCAAGATCGCCAAATACTCAGCAGGTGGCTCCACGCAAACCTTCTCCGTCTGGTCCGCTTGGTAGTACGCCTTCACGCAGTCTGCGATGAAGGTCCCGTGATTCTCCTCCTTGATGCTGACGAAGTCCACCAGCCTGCTCGTCTGTGCTGGCGAACTCGCTGCGAACACGTCGTCGCGCTGCTCCATCCACTTGAACTCCTGCGCCACATACCGCCACTTGCAGACACCTCCTCGCATCTGCGGCTCCCAGCGCGCCCTGATCTTCTTGAACTCGCTGCTCTCGCTCCTCGGGATGTCCCTGTGCACGCCATAGTGCGCCAGCACCTCTAGTGCTTCGCGCCTGCCCTTGAGTTCCACCGCGGGCTCCAGTCCGCTGACCGTCACGTAGCAGTCTGTGCCCATCCTGTCCAGGATGCTGTAGTCGATAGGGTCGTCGAGCGAGACCGCGTTCACGTGCTTCGCGCGCTTGCCTGGTGCGCCGAAGTCCTCAGCGTCGGCAGGTCTGATCAGCCCTCGGGGCGTCATCGGCACGTCCGCATCCGTCGTGCTCTTCTCCTCTGGCCTTGCCGCCGCTGCCGCTCCAACTCCAGGTCCCGCAGGTGCTAACGATGGCTCCGCGCTCGCTGCTGCAGCCGGCCGCGCCCCCTGCTCGGGCGCCCCCTGGGGTGGCGTCGCCTCTCGCGCTGCCTCCTGCGCCTCAGTCTTCGCCTTCTGCTCCGCCGCCGTCAGAACGATCCTGGGCATCGGCCTCTGCATCCTGGGCAGTAGCTCGCACGGCTTGGCGCTCCTCGCGTCCCAGGGTAGGGCCTTCACCGCCTTCATCAGCTTGTCGTCTGCTCGCAACGCTGGCTCCAGCCGCCTGCAGGTTCTCGCGCGGTGCCGGCCCGCTGGCGTCAAGAACAGGTGGTCGTCGCTCTCTCTCTCTGTGCTTTCCGATCCAGATGCCCTTCACGAAACTTGACTCGCCCTTGTGCTTCAGCGACGTGGTCGTGATCTGCCTCGTGTGGGAGATCGGAGTCTTGAAGAGAGCCGTCTCGCCAAAGGGGAGAATCTCTCCGTTGTAGGTCACTCCGTAGGCTGCCTGATGGGATGTCCTCCCATCGGCTCGTGGTCTGTACGTAGAGGTAGCCCAGCTAACGTATCGCGTAAGCCAGCACCAAATCGGTACGTCCGCTGTGATCTTCATGCCGTAGCGCTTCTCCAAGTCGAACTTGTACGTCCTCACCTTCGCCTGCAACCATCTGATCGGAGCCTCGATCGCGCCCATGCTCTGGCTGTCCTTCAGGTTCCCACGCTTCTCCTCCAGCTTGATGCTCTTGTTCAGCTTCTTCCGCACCTCCTCCACCAAGTTCACGATCGTGGGCTCGCCATCCGTCTTGATGTCTGCCGTCGTGAGATGCATGCCCTCGATGAAGCTGCTCACGCTGGCTGATGCGTAGTCCGTGACCGCCTTGGTAGGCATCGAAACTGCGTTGAACATCAGCGTGTCCCTGTCCGCCATCACGAGCGTCGTCGCGAAGATGTCCGCCGCTGGCGGCTCCAACTCTCCGATCTCCGCCCAGTCGCCGTTGGTCTTCAGGTAGCAGAAGTTCAGGGTGATCTGCGCTTTCCCAGTGTCCTTCTGGTCAAATGTGAGGGTCTTATGTGGCTGGGTCGTCTCGTTCCCTCGCACGCAGGCTTCGCACCACGGCGCCCTCGCGAGGTGAAGCAGTTCATGAGCTGCTCGTTCTGCATCCGTGGGCGCTGCTGGCCCTGCTACTTCTCGTGGTGCTATCGCAGGTCCTCCCTGAACGGACTCCTCGTGCCTGCGCTCCAGCTCCTTCATCTTCATGTGGTGTGCCGTGAGCCTCCGCTCCGCGTCGCTGGGCCTAGCCCACAGCTCGTCCTTCCTGCCGTAGATAGGTTGGCCCATCTCCTTGAGCCTCGCCCGCATGTCCTCCACGCGACTCGAAAGGTGCAGGACGATCTCCTGCCCCTCGCGTAGTAGTACAGGATGTCGAGCCAGTCGCTCTCCTCCTGCGCCCTCAGCTGCTCCATCTCGCTCTGGATCCGCTGCCGCAGCTGCAGGTGCAGCCGGCGCCGCTGCCGCCGCTCCGCTGCCCGCAGCCCCAGGCGTCGGCACGAACGCCTCCTCCTGCTGCTCATTCGCGTTCACACTGGCCGCAAACTCCTTCGCCTCCGTCGCTGTCCAGAAGGTCTTCGCGTTGAAGCCCAACGTGTTGTTCTTCCTGGTGAGCGGGATGCCCTTGCTGAGGTCACCGCCAGGGCACATGCACATGCCCATCTTCGCGCTCAGCCAGAACTCGGCACCCTTGTCCATCACCTCCAGCAGCGAGAAGAACGGCTTCGATGCCGTGTCACACAACCTGAAGTCCGCCTTCAGCAGCCTCGGCTGCTCGCAGTCGTCGGCAACCGCCATCGGCATCGTCGCAATGGAGTCCATCTTGATCTCCTTCCGCTGCGCACCCAGCAGCCTCGGTCCGCGATCCTCGCCTCTCCTGCAGCCTTCTCCGAAGCAAGTCGGCCCCACGTGGCAGTCGCTCGCCGTGTCCAGCGTGATGAAGGTCGTCTCCTCGAGCTCCATGCCGCAGCACTCCGTCTCGGGATCCTCCGCCTTCATCGCCATGCAGTAGAGCTGGTCGTCGTCGCAGATCTCGCACTCGTACTCCGCGTACTCTATCTTGGCCACCGTCTTCGGGTCCGTGCCCTCCTGTTCGATAGCCGCATTACCCTTGGCCTTTTCATCGGCGATCCGCTTCTTGCAGTCCGACTTCTTGTGGCCTGTCTTGTGGCAATAGTCGCACTTGCCCGTGAACGTGTAGCCATCCTTGCCTTTGCCCTTGGCGTCCTTTCCGCCCTTAGATCCCGCTCCTGCTCCTCGACCTTTTCCGTCGCCCTTCTGATTGCCCTTGTCACGCCAGTAGCAGTCTCGGGCCGTGTGGCTCAGCTTGTGGCAGATCTGGCACCTGTCCTTGCCGCCCTTGCCCTTGCCCTTGGAGATCGCGTCGACGTCCATATCATTGCTCCCCTTGCTCGCTGTCGGCGGTTTCGCGACCACCCCGCTCTGGCCGATCACCGCCTCGAAGATGCAGTTCCTCATCTGCGTAATGTCGCTGCGCACCTCGCGCTGCGCCGAGCGTAGCATGACCTTCACCTCCTCGGGCGCGTGGGCCATGATCGCGCTCGTCTTCATGTTTTGCGTGACCTGCTCTCCAGTCGCGCGCTCGTACCTCGAGATCCGCTCGTCCCAGGCGATGAGCACCTCCGCGAAGCGCTCCTTGCCTTCGCGATCCTTCCACCACAGCGGCCTCGAGATCTGCTGGAGCATCTGGCCGTGCTCCTCGTTCAGCCTCGGACGGTACTCCTTGCGCAGCCTCCGCATCGCCTCGAAGCCATCGCCTCGCGGGCAGAGCTTGACGATGCTCTGCGCCGTGCCCTTCGTGGTGCTCGCCAGCAGGTGGTACAAGCTCCTGCCGACCTGCACTCCTTGCTCACCGAGGTCATCCGCAGTAAGCGGCTCCTCAGCATCCCGCGACCTGTCCAGGCCTGCCGTCCAGCCCAGCAGACCGCAGTAGGACCCGAACGGGAAGATCCAATCCTCGAAGTCCTCCCTCTTGCCCGAAAACGTCGGCACCTTGCCGACTCCACGTGAATCCAGCAGCTGCACCCCAGCTGCTCCAACGTCGGCCGCCATGGCGCGCTGGCGCCACTAGCCTGAAGGTAGGTTCAGGCAACCTCACACCCTGCCACCATGCAGAGATGATGATCACGCCCGATGGCTTTCTCTCGAGCCATATGAGCTTTGGCGGGAACGCCCCGCTCCTCACAGTCCAGCCCTGCACGGGCCTTGCACAGGGGGCCTCTTCGGGCCCAGTTCTCGCTCTAGGGCCTCCTCGGGCCCGCCGCTCGCGCCAGGGCCTCTTCGGGCCCTGGCCTACACTCTGGACGCCTCGGGAGGGGCCGTGCGCTCACTGACGCCTGCAAGCTTAATACCTACATCTACATCTAGACCTACAACCACATCTACACCTATAGCTACATCTACACGTACACATGCATATACATCTACATCTACATCTACAACTACACTCACATATACATATACATATACACCTACATCTACACCTACATGTACATCTACACATACATCTACACATACATCCACATCTACACCTACACCTACATCTAAATATACATCTACACGTTCGCATCGGTGTTGCGTTTGTTTTGCGTTGCCGTTGCTATTGATATTGCCTTTGTGTTTGCATTTGTTATGTTATGCTGCGCTATGATATGAAATGCTAGACTATGGTATAAATGATATGCTGCGCCATGATAGGATTTGCGATGCTATGCTGCGCGATGCTATGCTATGTTATGCTATGCTATGCTGCGCTATGCTATGCTATGATATGATATGCTATGTTGCGCTATGATACGATATGATATGCTATGATATGCTGCGCTGTGCTAAGCTACGCTATGATGTGATATAATATGATATACTGCGCGATGTTATGCTATGCTATGCTATGCATATGCATATGATATGCTATGATATGCTATGCTAATGCTTCGCTGCGTTAAGCTAAGAAGCTTAGCTAAGCTAAGCTAAGCTAGGCTAGGATAAGCTAAGCTAAGCTAGGCTAGGCTAAGCTAAGCTAAGATGAAATAGGCTAAACTAAGATGAGAAAAGCAACGCTAAGCTAAGGGGGCGCAACTGAGGGAACCGCGGGTGGGGACTGGGGGTGCCGCCCGGGGCGGGCAACACTGCGCGGCCCCTTTAAGATAGAGACTAAGAACCCTTCTAGGCAGAGGCTAGGTAGGGAATGAAAGGGAGGGGCGGGCGACGTGGAAGAACGCGAAGGAGAAGGGGGGGCGGGGGGAAAGGGCAGACGCCTGCGGGGGGGGGGGGCGCCGACGGGGCAAGGGGGCGGCGGCGGAGGAAGGGGGGGGGGGGGGGGCGCAGGCTCCAAGAGACGGGGAAAAAGGAAAGTGGCAGAGAGAACATCCCAGGGGGAACGGAGGACACCGAGGAGAAACGAAAACGAAGAGGGAGAGGAGAGGACGCAGCAGGTGAGCGGAGGAGAAAAAGCAGAGATGGCGCGCACAAAAGCATTTGAAACGCGTTTCTTCTGCAACCGCTCTCTGGCGAGAGCGCGCGCCTCCCCCTCCGAACCTGCCGCGCTGGCTCGGCCCCGTCGGGTGGAAAGGCGCCCGGGCCTCCGACGTCGCGATCGCTGCGCGCCGCGCGCCTGGATCTCTCGACCACGCGCGCGGCAATGTGTTTTATTGGCGGCGGGTCGCTCGCGATCGCTGAGAGGCCCGGACATGGCCTTTGCGCGTGGAGACTGGGGGACAAACGCCCGTCTCGATTTTTTCGCGGCGCCCGGGGGTCTGGCGGGCGACGGGATCCGCCGCCGCGGCGAAAGCACTGCGTGGAGCGCGCGTAGGCCACTGAGAACCTTGAACAACGAATGCGACGAGAGCTCTTCGCGGCACCCTGACCCCAGTCACGGGCGCTATTGGGCGCTCCTGTGTTTTCGCGGGGGGCGGCCGGGATTTTTCCCGCCCGCCACGAAGGGCGCGGTTCGGGCGCCGCTCTGCCCGCGCTGTTCAAAATATGACCTCAAGGGCCCGGTTTGAGCCACTAGTCGGCGCGCCTTGCGCAGGCGGCGCGACATCGCCGGGCCCGCTTCGCCCTCGCGACCTATCCGGGCTTTCAGTCGCCGCGCGGACCCTACATTCCCAAGACAAGTTTTCTCGCTTGGTTAGGGCCCCTTCCCCTTGCCGCCCTCCGCGACCCCCGCCTCCTCGTCGCGCCGGGAGACCGCCTTCGCGAGGCCGCCTAGCCCCGCCCGCGTCGCGAGGCCCGGCCGACCAGCACGCGGGGGCCCCGCCCAATGGGGCGCGCGGGCCGTGGACACTGCAATGTAACTTTAACTCTGCCTATACGACCACCCTTCGGGTGATAAGGGGGTTCGGGGGGGCGAACCAACGTCTCACTCGATCGGTCTCACTATCGATCGCGCTATCGATCTCACTATCGGTATCGCTCGATCGATCTCACTCGATCGATCTCACAATCGATATCATTCGGTCGATTTCATTCGATCGATCTCACAATCTATCTGACTATCGATCTCACAATCGGTCTCACTATTGAAGTCACAATCGATATCACATTCGGTATAACTATCGATCCCAATATCGATACCACAATCGATATCACATACGACGTCATCATCCTCATCAACAGCATCGTCATCAACGTCATCATCATCCTCATCATCAGCATCACCGGGACACCATCATCATCACAACCTCATCACCATCATCATTAATATCATCATCATCACCGTCATCATCGGTACTCCATCATTGTAACCATCATCATCATCACCATCAACGTCATCGGGAAACCATCAGCATCATCATCATCATCGGAACACCACCATCATCACCATCTCATCACCATGATCATGAACAGCATCATCAACATCATCATCATAATCATCATCATTATCATGGGGGCACCATCATCATCATTAGCAACATCATCATCATCAAAATCATCATCATCATCAGAACACCATCATCATCATCGTCACCATCATCATCACCATCAGCACCCGGATACCATCATCATCAACATCAGCACCATCATCACCATCATTGGGCCACCATTATCAAAATTATCCCAGTGCGACCCTACCTAGGAGTTGGAGCCCCTAGGAAAGCAGCATTAGTAGTAACAGTGAAGCTAAGCTAAAGCTAAGCTAAAGCTAAGCTAAGCTAGAGCTAAGCTAAAGCTACGCTAAAGCTAAGCTAAAGCTAAGCTAAAACTAAGCTAAAGCTAAGACAAAGCTAAGCTAAAGCTATGCTAAAGATAAGCTGAAGCTAAGCTGAAGCTAAGCTAAAGCTGAGCTAAAACTGAGCTAAAGTTAAGCTAAAGCTAAGCTAGAGCTAAGCTAAATATAAGCTGAAGCTAAGCTAAAGCTAAGCTAAAGCTGAGCTAAAGCTGAGCTGAAGTTAAGCTAAAGCTAAGCTAAAGCTAAGCTAAAGCTAAGCCAAAGCTAAGCCAAAGCTAAGCTGAAGCTAAGCTAAAGCTAAAGCTAAGCTAAAGCTAAAGCTAACCTAAAGCTCAGCTGAAGCTAAACTGCAGCTAAGCTGAAGCTAGGCTAATGCTGAGCCAAAGCTGAGCGAAAGCTAAGCTAAAGCTAATCTAAAGCTAAGCTGGAGCTAAGCTGAAGCTAAGATAAAGCTAAGCTAAAGCTAAGCTAAAGCTAAGCTAAAGCTAAGCTAAAGCTATGCTAAAGCTAAGCTGAAGCTAAGCTAAAGCTAAGCTAAAGCTAAGCTAAAGCTAAGCTAAAGCTAAGCTGGAGCTAAGCCGAAGCTAAGCTCAAGCTAAGCTAGAGCTAAGCTAAAGCTAAGCTAAAGTTAAACTAAGGCTAAGCTAAACCTAAGCTAAAGCTAAGAGCTAAAGCTAAGCTCAAGCTAAGCTAAAGCTAAGCTAAAGCTAAGCTAAAGCTAAGCTAAAGCTAAGCTAAAGCTAAAGCTAAATGTATAGCTAAAGCTCCCAGGGGCCTGGGGGAACCGCGGGGCGGGGACTGGAGGAACCGCCCGGGGCGCGGTGCACTGCCCGGCCCCTTTAAGCTAAGAGAGTAAGAACCCTCTAGGCAGAGCCTAGGTAGGGAACCATCATCATCACCTCATCATCATCATCATCATCATCATCATCACCATCATCGGGACACCATCATCGTCATCATCATCATAATCACCGGGACACCATCCTCATCATCATCATCATCTTCACCATCATCATCAAGAGCATCATCATCAACCTCATCATCATCATCATCACTGGGACACCATCATCACCAGCTTCATCATCAGCATCGAATCATATGGTCGTCATCAACATCATCAGGATCATCAACATCATCATCATCAGCAGCATCATCATCATCAGCATCATCGGGGAACCATCATCAACATCATCATCAACATCAACATCATCATCATCATCGGGGCACCATCATCATCACCACCATCACCATCATCATCATCATCAACATCGTCAACAGCGTCATCATCATCATCGTGACACCATCATCATCACGACCATCACCATCACCATCACCATCACCATCACCATCATCATCGTCATCATCATCATCATCATCATAGTCAACATCATCAACATCATCATCATCATCGGGACACCGGGGGGGCACCGGCGGGACACCCGCGGGACACCGCGCGCCGCCGGCCCCCGAGCGGGACACCGGCGGGACACCGCGGGGCACCGGCTGCAGGAAGGGAGACTTTTGGTCCGGCCGCGCCTCAGCTACAGCAGACTTACTTCTCGCCCGCCCACGCAGCTTCGCCACGCCCGCACACGCGGCGCGCGCAAACACGAAACCGAAACCGATTTCCCGGTAGGGGGGCCCTCCGTCCCACTTCGATCTCACCCCTCACCTCCGACATTGCAATGCTCGTTCCCTTGATGCGCGCCCCACTGGGCAGGCCCCCAGCCGCCGGCCGGCCGGCGGCCGCCTGGAAAGCGCGGACAAGGCGGGCGGCCGCGCAAGGCCTCCCCCCCAATCTCCCCCCCCGCATTTTCTACCCGATGGCAACCGCATGTTGGGTGGGAAGGCTAACGTCAAACTCGTAATCGTTATGCTCGTA